ATTTTAAGCAAACGACCTCGGAATCAGGATCCGAAGGTTCTAGCAGGTTCGTGTGATGATTTCAGACTTGGGCGTATGCCCGGTTCGGGTTTTGGATAACCCGGGAGTGTTTTGGCGCCTATTGTGGAAGTTAGCATTTTAGAAGAAATTTCATCGGTTTGGCTTGAAGTGCATTTCAGTGTTATCGAGGTCCGCTTGGGATTCCGAGACTGTGAATAGCTCCGTACGGTGATTCTGGAGTTGGGGGCGCGATCGGAAGTGAATTCGGAGGTCCGTAGGTCATTTTGGAGCCATTTGGCTAAAGATAGAAATTTGAAGGTTTTGAGAAGTTTGACCGGAGGTGGACTTTTTTGATATCGGGGTCGGAATCCGATTCCGAAAGTTGGAGTAGGTCCGTAATGCCAAATATGACTTGTGCGCAAAATTTGAGGTCAATCAGACGTGATTTGATAGGTTTAAGCATCGGAAATAGAAGTTTGAACTTTTGAAGTTCATTAAGTTTGGATTGGAGGTAGATTCGTGATTTTAGCATTGTTTGATGTGACTTAAGGCCTCGAGCAAGTCCGTAACGTGTTTTGGGATTGGTTGGTAGGTTTGGTTGAGGTCCCGGGGGCCTCGGGTGGATTCCGGATGGTTAACGGATCGAAATCGGAATTTTGAATAGAGCTGAAGGCATCTGGTTGCTGGTGTTTTCGCTTCTGCGGTTGGGTAGCTGCAGAAGCGGCCCCGCAGAAGCGAAAAGGGAGCCGCAGAAGCGGTGTATGGTCGAAGGCTCGTGGACCGCAGATGCGGTCAAGGTTCCGCAGAAGCGGGACCGCATCTGCGGATGGTGGATCGCAGAGGCGAGAATGGGAAGCCTAGGGAGGACCGCAGATGCGGTCAGAGTTCCGCAGAAGCGGGACCGCATCTGCGGATATTATACTGCAGAAGCGGAAAAGGGCTAGTAAGGGGAAGCCGCAGAAGCGGCGGATTGTCCGCAAAAGCGGGACCGCTGATGCGGTATTGCTTCCGCAGAAGCGGAAATACCTGGAGGCAGTAGGATGTTTAAAAATCGGGATTTGGCCATATCTCTCATATTTTTCATGGCTTGGGCGATTTTTGGGAGAGCTTCTAGTGGGATTTTCGTCATCTATGTTAAGGTAAGTTACTCCTACTCATTTCCAAGTTAAATACAAGATTATATCATGGAATTAGACATGAAAATTGTGGGAAAATTGGGATTTTTGGAAGAAAACCTAGAAACTTGATAAATTGGATTTTACCACGAATTTGAGCATGGAATTAGGAGTAAATTATATATTTGAGCTAGTGAAGCTATGGGTAGAGTATATCTTCAAAAAATTTCGGATTCTGGGCACGTGGGCCCGAGGGTGTTTTGGTCAACTTTCCGATCGGAGTTAGGAATTTCTATAAATTAGATTGTAATGAATAATTGAGCATATATTAATGGAATTGCGTAACCGTTAGCTAGTTTTGGAGCGTGGTGCATCAGTTAGCGTCTTCAGAAGGGCGTGGAATGCCGGATTTGGATCTTCGGAGCGAGGTGAGTCTCCTTTCTAACCTTGTAAGAGGGAATTGTCCCCATAGGTGAGTTAATTGGTTATGTGCTCCTATTGTGGAGGCTACGTACGCACGAGGTGACGAGAGTCCGTGCGTAGCTATTATTATGCTATTGTCCGGGTAGTTAGGACCCAAAAACATGTTATACTTGGATTATTTGTAAGCACTATGGTAGCTTGAATTGCTTAAGTCACATGGAATCCGTAAATGAATTTCTAAAGGGATTAAACTTTACTTCTTAAAATTTGTTAAAGGAGAATTTGATATATTTTGATAAATATTCCCTGATAAGTTCTTACTTGATTGATTGAGCATGTATCTCTCTGTGTACCTGCGTCGCATGTATGATTCGCGAGCAGGGTATGTGTTTATTTTATGTTGACCGCGTCGCAGATTATTTCGCGAGCGGGGTAATAGATGCATCTATAGGCGCGCCGTCGACCCTGGGCAAGTGCACATTTCTTTTCTGTTGGACCGGGCCGTCGCCTCGGCATGATTTGCGCATGACATTTTTATATATATTGATGCACGTGAAATTTTAAATGATGATATTGCCCTTGATAGCTTGATGTAAATTGATAAGATAAAGAAAGGTAAACCTTGAAAATCCTTTATTATTTGTTGAAGGTGTATTGCTTGTTTTCCAGCTTTGTGAGTTAGTACTGCCTTATAAAATCCTTGATTTCCTCACACATTTAGTATATTATTATTGGACCACTAGTGAGTGTCAAAGTTGACCATCTCGTCTATACTTCTTCGAGATTAGACGGGATACTTGCTGAGTACACGTTGATTACGTACACATACTACACTTCTGTGCATTTTTGTTGCACAAGTATAAGTAACTTTAGTGGCTTACTGGGCGTAGCGGTGCGGATGACTCTGGGACTAGGTGAGCTGCATTGTTCGAGGCGACCCGCAGCTAGTGTAGTTCCTTTCAGCATTTATATATTATTCCCTGTCCACTGTATTTCGGACAGATGTTGTATTTTATTTTCCTTATTAATAGATGCTCATGCACTTGTGACACCGGGTTCTGGGATGGTTTTCGAAAGATGTGTACTGATAGTTATTTCTTAATTTGAATTGAAGCAGAGATTGTTTTATTTATGAAAAATGGAAGGAAAAACCCTAGATTTTCCAAAGGTATTAAAACAGAATTTAATTGATAATTTAGTTGGCTTGCCTGATAGAGGTGTCCAGTGCCATCACGACCCGTAGTGGTTTTTGGGTCGTGACAAAATGAGCTTAGGTTTTCCAGAAGGGTCTGCTATCAACTCAGCTATCAGTTGTAGTGCATCAGAGTCACCCTCATAGCTTTGACATACTTCTTGCATCCAAGTAGGATCTGATGAGGTAATGGCACACAAAGTAGAGTCACCTTCCTGTCTCCTGGATAGAGCATATGCTACTCTATTCTCTGTTCCTCTTTTATACTGAACCTCATAATCTAAGCCCAGTAACTTAGTTAGACCTTTCTGTTGTAGTGCTATAGTAATTTTCTGCTCCAATAGGTATTTGAGACTTTGATGATCAGTTCTTATAATGAAATGGCCCCCCATTAGGTAGTGTCTCCACCTTTCTACTGCATTTAGTACAGCCAGGTATTCCTTCTCATAGGTAGATAGGCCTCTATTTCTGATTGATAAAGCCTTGCTGAAGTAAGCAATAGGTCTCCCCTCCTGTAATAGAACTGCCCCCATTCCTGTGGAACAAGCATCTGTCTCTATGATGAAGGTTTTAGTAAAATCAGCTAATGCTAACACAGGAGTTGTTGACATGGCTGTTTTAAGCTGTTGGAAGGCTGCTTCTGCTTCATCAGACCATTGAAATGAATTCTTTCTCAATAAATCAGTAAGAGGTCTGCTAATATTTCCATAGGCTCTTACAAACCTTCTGTAGTATCCTATAAGCCCTAGGAAACCCCTTAATTCCTTGACAGATTTAGGCCTTGGCCACTTAGTCATGGCTTCAACTTTGGCAGGATCTGTAGCTACCCCATTTCCTGAAATAATATGCCGAAGATACTCTACACTATCTTGTCCAAATGAACATTTAGATAACTTGGCAAATAATGTTCTTGCCTCAGAATTTCCAGCACTTGTCTTAAGTGTATACTATTGTTATAGACTGAAGGGCTATAGACTAGTATGTCATCAAAGAAGACTAAAACAAATTTCTTGAGAAATGGCTTAAACACATCATTCATAAGACTCTGAAATGTAGCAGGAGCATTAGTTAAGCCAAAAGGCATGACTTTGAACTCATAATGGCCTAAATGAGTTCTGAAAGCAGTCTTATAGATATCAGTCTCCTTCATTCTGATTTGATGATAACCAGCCCTAAGGTCAATCTTAGAATAAATGGAAGAGCCACTCAATTCATCCATTAAATCATCTACAAGTGGAATAGGAAATTTGTCTTTGACAGTCAACTTATTCAATTCTCTATAGTCAATGCAAAATCTCCAACTACCATCCTTCTTTTTAACCAATAAGACTGGGGAAGAAAATGGGGAATGGCTGGGTTGTATAATTTGATTAGTAATCATCTCATTAATTTGCTTCTCTATCTTATTTTTTTGAAAGTAATTGTACCTGTAAGGTCTCAAGCTAACTGGATTGGCATTGTTCTTCAGGGGTATGTGGTGATCACAGGCTCTTCTGGGAGGCAGCCCTTTGGGTTCAGCAAACACATCTGGGAATTCAGCAATGACTTCAGAGATTGCTGCATGTATTCTTTCTTTTTCTACACTTCCTGGTTCTGGCTGGGCTGTTATAGTAAACAAATGAGCCCATATAGCTTGACCCTTCTTCAACATCTGCTTAACTCCTATGACTGTCATGCTCTTCAGTTCTGCTTGACTGTAGATTCTCTTCAACTCTACCCTTTTGCCCTTATGAGTAACCTGCACCTTATACTCTACAAAATCCAAGAGTACAGGGTTATGTCCCTTCATCCAATATCCTCCTAATATCATGTCATTACCCCCTAGTATCACCAATTTGACTGAGTCTTGAAATTCTACTCCCCGAATTTTCCATTTTAACTTTGGACAAGTGTGGAGACTAAAAATGGGATTTCCATCAGCCACAGTAACTCTCATAGGAACTGCATCACTAATGGTGAAAATCCCAGGTACCTTAGCTCGACTAGCCACACAGCTTCTCCACCGGAGTCTGGCAAACTTTGGACACCAATTATGGATGTCCACTCTACTCCAAGCCCAATACGTGAGGCAGCGACAACCCCTCTCCATGGAGGAACTCAACACACTCATGGGCCAGCTTTTCCAGACAATGCCCTTCTTCCTACTCATGAATCTGGAGGCTCCATTCCCATCTCCATCATTCCAACTCTGGCCACCAATAGTCTAAGTTCCTTAGCCACCACCATCACAACCACTCTTTTCCATCGATCTTCTGAGCAGGGGCACCACCATGCCATTGGACTATCTCCGAGATTCCAATGTGGACCTGGAGAACATGCTAGAAAAATTAGGGATCCCAAAGAAAAAGGACTTCCTCATGCAGGAACCCCTGGAGATAGAGTTCAAAGAGCAGTCAGGAGAAATGCTTATTGCTCTGTGCCCCAAAAAATCCTAAGCTACAACCCTAATGGGCAAGGGGAAGGGAATCAAAAGGAAAGCTCCAACCAAAAACCCCATCTTAATGAACTTCATACTATAGAATGTTAGGGGTGCCAACAGTGCAGAGTTCCGTAGGCCCTGCTCATCTATGGTGAAGCTCCATAATCCTGCCATGCTGGTCTTGCTGGAGACTAGAATGGCAGACCACAAACACCTAACTTCTAAGCTCAAGTTTGATGCCCAATTCCAATCCCCTGTTGTTTGGAAATCTGGGGGGATTGTTCTAATGTGGAAGGATGATCTGCTTAAGCTATAGAAAGTAGCTACTAATCCACAGGGAGTGCATGTCATGGTCAAGGTAATCCCCTCCTCCACTAAATGAATTTTTTCTGCAATATATGCTAGTAACTATGTCAATAATAGAAATATGCACTGGAATACATTAGATATCTGGCTTCTGTATATGGGGGTAGTTGGCTTGTTGGAGGAGATTTCAATGAACTCCTAAAAGCCAGGGATAAGTTTGGGGGGAATAGCTTGAACACTAATAGAAGCAATAGGTTCTAGAAATGCTTAAACAATTGCAAATTAGTAGTGTAGACATGTAATTTTTGACCCGCACATTAAAATTACCTTTAATAGTCCTAGTATTTTTAGGATATTTATTTGAGTTTATTTCTATAGGATCTTACTTTATTATTAATTTTAATTCTATTTTTAAGGCACAAAAAATTGAAAAATACAAAAATAGTTTCATGTTTTATATTATTTCTATTTAGTTTAGGTTATTAATATTTTTATAGTGATATTATTTTAATTTTACCGTGACTTTAACGTATTTTTCTTTATTCTTATTTTAATATGATCTTTGAAAAAAATAACAAAATGTCTAAAATATTTCATGCACAACATTTTAGGTCTTAATTGTATTTAGGATCTAACTACATAATTTAATTGCTTTATTAAATAAAAAATCAAAAATATTTGTCATCTTTACATTTTTAGCTTTAGTTGAAAATTTGTAATTTCCTTTCATTAGTCTTAAGTTAATTATTATTTTTTTTATGTTAGAAATAGACAAACAGTGTAATTCTACAAATTAGATTTAGTTTAGGATTTTTAAATTGAATTTATTAAGCTAAAAATCAAGAAAAAGAGAAAAAAAAAAGCTTGTTAATTCGGATTGGGCCACAACCATTTTATGTGGCCCAATTGCCCCAAGATTAACCCCTGAGCCCAACAGTCCCCACGACCCGCCTGTGAAACCCGCCGACCCGCCCTAATTCCCTCTTTAAATCCTAGCCCTCTATCTCAATTAATCCAATGGCCCATGTTTTATCCCACCCCATATAAATACAACATTATAACCATTAACCCTAAACCTAAAATAACGCCAAAACGGCGTCCCATCCCCTCCCATCCGTCTACCGCCCAAGACTCGCCGGAAAACTCACTGATTCCGGCGAGTTAACTCATGGTCCCCCCTTCTCTTCTCTCCTTCCTCCATGTCACACATTCCGTACTAAACTTCATTATTTTCACGCGATTTTCTCTTCATTTTTCTTTTTGGAAATTGTCTCTTTTAGGCGAGAATAGAAAAATGGGGTGCGTAGGTGTAATATGCTAGATTTAGGAAATTATAGAAGCAGCAATTGTGTATATTATTGATAGAAGAATCCAAAATACATTCAATTGTACAGTAGAATGCATTTCAATAGCTAAACTAATGAATTCTAATCAGCTGCTCCAATGGCGGTTACCTGAAATGAGAAGAGGAAGAAGAAGAATGAGGAAAAGAGAGAGAGAATCGAGAGTGAGAAGAGAGAGAGAGTGAGAAGTAGTTAGAAGTTTACCAGATTCATAACTGCTTCTGAGTTCTTCAACGATTTATTTAATATGTTGAAATCTAATTTCAGCTCTTGGATTGTAACTAATCTCGACCGTTCACTTTTACTAATTGCAACGACACCGTTCCTCTTAATGGTCATATGTAGCTCACGTGACCCCCTCTAGCCAGCCCTAATATACACGCCTCTTTCCCATTTCTTCTAGATATTTCCACTCCCCTTTCCTAATTCATCTGTGTTCGTAACAGTAGGATCGAGTTACACTCGATCTACTCCCTCCATTTGTCTTATCTCGTCCATTGTAGGGATTTTCGGATAAATATTTTGGGATTTGTTTTGTGGTCCCACGCATTTTCTTGGTGAAGAAGAAGAAGATTCAAGAGTGAGCAATTTTTTTGGGGTCTAGACAGGAATTTTGAAAGAAAAAGTGGAGAAAATTAGGGTTTCACAAAAATGTTTTTTTTCTTCTCACTTCTGGTTTTGATCTTTGGTTGTTGAATTTTGTTTAGATTTCGAAATCAGAAAAAATACCAAAAAAAAAATATAATATAGTTCTGCCTTCTTCAGTTTTAATTTGGAATTTTGGTTTCAACGTGGAGATTGATTGAGCCGAAATCGAGATTGCCGTCGAGTTTTTGGTTGCTGGTTCGGTTCCTGTTTATCTGCTGCTGTTATTTCAAGTATTCATTGTCGGATTTATTTGTATTCGATTCCAAACGAACTTAATTGAAGAATTTCGCATTCTCAGGTTCATTTCTTGACTCTTCCTTAGTTGCTTTGGTGTTTGATTGAAATATGATGAGAGCCTGGTTCAGTTGGTTTATAAGTTATTCAAATCTCTGTTTGCTTTAGATGAAAGTGTTGGCTTATGAGATTAACAAGTAGAATTCGATCCAGTTTGGTGACTGCTAACAAGGTTTTGAAGCCGCCCAGTGATTGCTTGCGATTTTCATGAATATCTCACTTGTTTGATCGATTTTAAACGTGAATGAGATCTGAAATTATCCATTTTATGGTTTGGTATGAATCTGCCGGGTTTCTTGTCCTGTTTTCCCTCTTTGTTGACTGATGATCACGTCCGAGAACCTTCTTTTCTTGACTTAAATCTGTCGGCGTCCCTAGTCGACGTTTTGATTAGTTTTGTTCTGTCTTCTATTTTTTTTGAGTTGGTGTCGAAGCTGAGAATGTACAGATTCCCTAAAGTTGAATTCTTCTGTTAATTAAGTTTAGTATGAATTACATTCCCAGCAGATTCCCTAAAGTTGTCTCGAACCAGTCTGCTGTCCGAAACTTGGAATTTTCATATATCTAGTATAGCTGTCAGTTTATTTCATCCTGTGATTTTGAAGTTATCTCTGGCTTACCGCTTCATGGTTCCATAGGTCTGTTATGGTGTTTACTTTGTTAACTATTTAGTATACCTCCTCTGTTGCTTTAGAGCTAATGTATGATAAATTAGAATCTATTTGAAGTCTAAAATCCTTTATAAAAGCCTCCAGATACCTGCAGCTCATTAACACTGTTAAGAACACTATGGCTCTGGCACGTTTTCGTGTTCATGTATTGCTTTGACTAGAATTTATATGGAAATTTGTTTATTGTTTTCCCTTCTTTTCCTTGTATGTAACTTGGTCATTGGAAAAAAGGATTCCAAGAGATCTTAAGCGGCTCTTACCACATTTTAATTCACTTCTTTTGACTTGTCTCATTTAATAATTGTTTCTTCTGCCATTTTCCTTATTTGCTTATCTCGTGTACTATGGATGTTTGTTTGGTTTATTATTAAGTCAATTTGCCATGCTTTGTTTGTTTTGGATATTTGACTTGCCTGAGCATAGTCATATGATTGTGCAACGCGACGGGTACATGGGAAGGGGGAAGATAGAGTCCGTAGTAATTTCATCTTGTTTTAGGATTGGACTCGGTCTAAATGTATGAAATAAAAGTTGAAAAGATCATGAGTATGAAATGAAACTTTCTTTTATTTAGTTTTCGTTATTTTTTAATTTTTTACTGCTAGTAACATGTTTTAGGCTGACCACACTCGGGTAGGAAATCTTTAGGTTTTCTTTTTCTCTTTTATTCGAGGTGAGAAGTCGTTCCTTTAGTTAAATTTATCCGGGGAATGCCCCGTAGACTTTGTATATATTTTATCCGGGGTATGCCCCGTAGTATTTGTATCTGTAGGCCGAAAGTAGAACTCTTAGTATTTTTATCTTTATTTTCATTTTTTAATTCTCGTTTGTTAGGTGGGGACGACCTCGAGCTTTTGTGTGTTTATTTTTCTTTTCTGTGTTTATTTTTACCTCAACTTGAATATTTTAAAAGCCAACTAGATCAAGTACGCAACCGTGACTTTCGTGGGACTTGGTGAATGCCTAACACCTTCTCCCTGAGTCAAATGAACCCCATTACCTAAAATCTTTGGTGCCGACTAGGGGTGTTCATAAAAACCCGAAAAACCGAACCAAACCGAAAACCAAACCAAACCGACCAAAAAAATCGATACTTTTTGGTTTGGTTTGGTTTTGGTTTTGAATTTTAAAAACCGATCAAATTTGGTTTGGTTTTGGTTTTAATCAGAAAAAAACCGAAAAAAACCGAACCAAACCGCCTATAGGAGTATCTATTTCAAATTTATTATTACACCTATATATATATGTATATTTTTGTACAAAGTTTAAAAAATTTAATGGTAAATGTTAATAGTTTGTACTTTTAGTATAGTTCTTTACCTTTACATTCTAGTTTGATTGGTAGTTTTCTTTTGTTAAGTGTAGGAATCTATTTCGTGTTAAAAATAATATAGCTTTAATTGAGCCTTAAATTATTCATTAGTATTTGATTCAATTATCAGCAATATATCTTGGTAAATAATAGATTTCTCAAAGGGCAATTGATTTGATAGTGTTACTTTGAAAATGTGGTCGCCGGAATATGTGTTTGTGGTGTATGTCTTATATTTAAGAAAAAACCGACAAATAACCGAAAAAATCGAAAAACCGACAAAACCCGACATAAACCGAATCGAGAAAAAACCGACTTAATTGGTTTGGTTTGGTTATAATATTTTAAAAACCGACCTACTTGGTTTGGTTTCTTTTTAGGGAAAAACCGAACCAAACCGAACCATGAACACCCCTAGTGCCGACTTAGTTTTGAGTCCAAAGTGTTTTAAAAGGAAAAATAATTTTTAAAAAAAAGGGTGGCCTGGCACACTGAAATCAAATGCCAGGTGGCGACTCTAAATCTTTTGTAACACAATATTCTTTGTCACTTTTAATTAAAAACCCTTTTTGAGCTTTACAAATCTTTTTATATTTTAAATAGGGTTAGTGAGTTTAAAAAAAAAGGGTGTGACACATAGGGTTTAAAGGCTCTAAATATACTTGGTCTAATAAGAGATACTCCAATAAGCAAGACCTAATCCTAGAAAGACTATAGGTGCTTTGCAACTGATGCTTGGACTGAGGAATTCCATGAATCTACTGTTATACACCTTCCTAGGACTCACTCAGATCACTGTCCTTTTCTTTTAAGCATTTCCCACCAGAATCACAACAGGGCAAACAAACCCTTCAAGTTTGAATCTATGTGGTGTAGACTTCCTCCCTCTTGTGGAGGACCGTTTTGATGCTAGGCTTGATATTCTGGAAGCTACTTATGTCTTTACCAACAGAGTAACTGACTGGAATAAACATGTCTTTGGCAACATCTTCCATAGTAAAAGGCATATCCTTGCGAGACTTTCTGGTATTCAGAAGTCCAATGCCTGCCCCTTTAGCATCTTCCTTCAGGAGTTGGAAGCCAAGCTCCAACATGACTTTTATACCATTCTAAAGATTGAGGAAGACTTCTGGAAGCTTATATCCAGAATTAGTTGGTTGAGTGAGGGTAATGCTAACACCAAATTCTTCCATATATCCACTCTTAACAGAAGAAGGAGGAACATGATCATGTCCTTCAAGGATGAGGTAGGAACAACAGTCAGAATCCCCAGGACATTAAAGACAATCATCAACTACTTCACTAAAATCTATACCACTGAACATCACAACTCAGTGCTGAACAGGATTCACATCACTGATAGTACTAATATACTGAATACCAGGGAGCAAGACACCATTGACTCCACATTTAGGCTCTCTGAGATCAAGTGTGCCTTGTTCTTCTTCAAGGCCATGAAGGCACCTGGGCCTGATAACCTCCACCCTTTCTTCTACAAGAAGTACTGACACATAGTCTTTACCAGTGTTATCCAATTATGCAACACTGTCTTTGCCACAAGTTTGGTCCTTCCTGAAATAAACCAAATCAATCTTTGCCTCATCCTTAAATTCCCTAATGCCACCATGTTGAAAAACTTCAGACCAATTGGTTTGTGCAACACTCTGTATAAGTTGATCACTAAGATAATTGTCAACAGAATCAAAACCAATGCTCCAAAACATCATTGGCCCTACCCAGTCCAGCTTTCTATCCAATAGAAGAGCCACTGACAATTCCATCGTGGTCCAAAAGTACATTATCCACTTCCAAAACATGAAAGGCAAGAATGCCAACATGATCTGAAAGTAGACTTAGAGAAGGCTTTCAATAGGTCAGAATGGTCTTTCATCAGAAAATCCCTTCTCTTCTTCAACTTTCCCATTAAGGTTACCACCCTCATCATGTCCTGTCTCACTACAAGCTCCATCTCTATCCTAGTCAATGGTACTTATACTGAGTACTTCAAACCCAGTAAAGGCATTAGGCAAGCGGATCCTATGTCGCCCTACCTATTCATCATATGCATGGAAAGGCTCTCCAGAGATATTGAAAATGCTGTATCTGAGAAGGATTGGTGTCCTATCAGTATCAGTAGGGGAGGGCCTAGAATCTCCCACCTATTCTTTGCTGATGACCTCACTAATTTTGCCAGATCCAATAAAAGTAACTGTGAGTCAATCTTAGCCATTCTGGTCAACTTCAATGCTGCATCTAGGCAGAAAGTCAACCTCCAGAAATCCAATTATCTTTTCCTCTAATTTCCAAACAGAGTGTGCCACATCATGCAGTGTCATTCTAGGTATCAAAGGTGCAAAAGACTTTGGGAAATACCTTAGGTTCCCCATCTTTACTAAAAGGCCTAGGAACAGTGACTTCCAGTTCATCATAGACGATCTTAATAGTAGAATGACAGGATGGAAAACAAAATTCCCAAACATGGCTGGTCGAACCACTCTGGCTAAGGCATGCCTTAGTAGCATCCCAAACCATGTCATGCAATACATCCAGCTACCCTCCCAATAACCAACCAAATTGACAAAATACAAAGAAATTTTATTTGGGGTACTACCCCTATAAAAAGAAAGTTACATATGGTCAAGTGGGCCACTGCCACCAAACCAAAGAATAAGGGAGGTCTGGGTCTCCAGCAGCCCCACCTAAAGAACAAAACATACCACACCAGTCTTGGTTGGAGACTCTACAACATCATTACCTCCATTTGTGCTAGAGTGCTCATTGGCAAGCACTAATGGAGGAGGGAGTAGGTTTAAGCCTAAAACTAGAACCTGAAAAATATCCATGAGGGATGGAAGATTTTCACTAATTGCAATAGATGGGTTGTTCACAAAGGGATAGGGTTAGATTTCTCACTGACCCATGAATGCCCAAAATGCAACCTCTGGATACAATCCCAATGGTCCATGGCACCATGGAGACATGAACACGAGGATTGATGAGGTGTTCTCCGATGGGGTTTGGGATTTCAACTGCATTCCCTACCCAATCCACTTGATACCACCCTGATAATACAAAACACCTTCATCCCCACCTCCACCTCTGCTAAGGACAAACTAATCTGGAACCTTAACCCTAATGGCACGTTTAGTACCAAATCAGTCTACTCTTATCTTGATGCACTTATGCATGATGACAATTCTAATGAAGACCACTGTAGTTGGATTTGGAAACTAAAGACCCTAATAAGATCAAGCTCTTCATATGGCTCATGCAACAAAACAGGCTGCCTACAGGGAATCATTTACACCACATTGGCTTGAGAATTACCCCTAACTGCTCCTTCTGTGATCATGCAATAGAAGATATAAACCACATCTTCTTTGAATGTGCCAATGCCAAACAATTCTGGCAGTATTTGCTGCACAACTGTACTCAACAGCCTAGCCTTAGTGCAAATCCATTTTGAATGCACAACTAGGAAGACACATGGTATATGATCTAAATTGTGGACTACAATGCTTGCATCAAATGGAAACAACTTTTGCCCTTCTACCTCTGGGCAATCTAGCTAACCAGGAACTCTAATGTCTTTGAAAGAGGAAGAACCACATTAATGTTTACCAAATAATAGCTAAGGCTGTTGAATACCACCATGTAGCAGCCACTTCAAGGACTACTCCAGCAACAACCACCTTATACCTAAAGTGGCGCCCACCAGATATTGGCTTTTACAACCTGAAAATTGATGGGGCTGCATGCCTTAACCCAGGGAAAGAGGGTATAGGGGGGTATTTAGAAATAACTGGGGTGGCTGGATCTTAGGCTTCACGAGGGGTCTCCCAAACACTGATAGTCTTAGGGCAGAGCTCCAAGCCCTATGGTTGGGGCTAAAAATAGCCGTAGACCAAGGCTTGGCACCTCTGGTGATTGACACCGACTCTGAAATGGTGTTGGAAATGTAAAAAATGGCAACTTAGCTCACAACCCCATAATTTCGGAATGCAGGCATCTGATGGAGTAGTTGGGGAACCTAATCACAGGACATAACTATGGGGAACATAACCAAGTGCCGGACCTCCTTGCAAAGGAAGGAGCTAGGAAGGAAGTTTTTGACAAGACCCAGTTTTTGATAGTTCCTCCGTTTGTTTGTTAACAGAGCAGTGTGGGCAGACATCTCAGAAACTGTTTTTGAAAGAAAAATAAATGTTTGTAATACTGAAACTTTGGTAGACATTGATAACAATCAACAAGAGACCTCATCCCCCTATATTGATGTAATTTTGTGAATATATATATAGGGATAGCCTTAACGTAAACGACTTTATTCGTAGAAATACTAGTGGGAGTTACTGGGTTTGTTGTCGTTGTTGTTGAAGTGTATTAATTTCAACATGTTTCGTTCGGTCATGTTGAACGGAGTTATGAGCTATACCAATTGCAACCTTTTCATCACAGTACAAGAATGTTTCCTTTGACAATCTCAATTCCTCTAATAGCTTTTGTAGGCACAAAAGTTCACAGATATCCTGGGCCATAGCTCTATATTCTGCCTCTGCACATGATCTAGCAGTCTAGCTTCTCAAGGTAACCAAGTTCCCTCCTACGTGTGTACAGTAACCATACGTAAATCTCTTGTCATCTAGAGATCCAGCTCAATCTGCATCTGTAAAGGCTTCTATCCGGAGGTGACCATGTTTCGAGAAAAGCTGATCTTTTTCTGAAGCAAACTTCAGATAACACAAAATGTGAATGTCAACTAGCATATGAGGATCTCAAGCTGGCTCACCAAGCTAATTGAATACCTATGTCTGTCTAATGTAAGAGATATAAATGAGTCTTTCAACCAACCTCTGATCTCTCCTTGTCATCTGACTTTCCAACTCCTGTTTGTAACTTGCGATTGCTTTCAATGGGCGATTATGATGGCCTGCGACCTCTCATAGTAGTTTCGTTCAGGAGATCATATATATATATATATATATATATATATATATATATATATATATATATATATATTAGTTAACAAAAAAAAAAACTTTTGAGCGACTATCTCATAAATTCAGCAAAATTACTTTACGAAATTTATTTTTGCTGATCAGTATTTGTATACAATCTTATGAAAACTTAATTGTGAATTGAAAATATTTATCTTGAACTTAAACCAGGTAATAAGACCATTGATTTATTGCATTTCTTACTCTTTATTATATGCATTAAACCGTATGCCTCAAGTATACTATATATGCTTACACGGGTCTTTATATTTGTCCACAATTTATATTTCCATTTCCCTCCACTCATCTCCAACAGTGCCCCCTACCCCCGACCCCCCACCCAGGTGACTTTTTATGGCGAATGCAAGATTTGAATTTTATGGGTCAGGAATGCCACTAAACCTATACTTACCATAGTTATTGGGTTCCAAATTAAATATTTGTACATATTTAGTAAACTTCTTAAAATATATACAGGATATGAACCAAAACTATTGAATTCAACTGAACTCATAGCTTATATTCAGAGGCGGAGCTAACATTTGAAACTTATGGGTTCAGTATTCTAATTTTTTAAATTACTAGGTTCTAAATTGATAATTTGTACATAGTTCAATAATATTTTAAGATAAATATAGAGTTTGAATAAATGTTTCAGGATTCTGCCGAACCTGTATCCAAAGGGCTAGCTTCGCCCCGCTTATACTGTACATTTGCTCATGAGGGTGTGGTAAGACCATATTGGTGATAGAGATAGGAACTTTATCAAGGGAATTCAGAAAAATATTCTGTTGCATTGGGGAATTCAATAATCAAAATATGCATATAAATTTTACCTTATACATGTATAATCTATTTATAATATGTGCATAACTATAAAGAAAGTTGACCAATTTTATTAAGGGAAATTTTCATAAAGCACTATCTTTTAGTAGTAATTAGCCATCTATAGATACTATTTGCTATATTACGGATTATAGATACCTTTTTTGTGGTTATAAGACGTATTTAATGTATTTAAGCTATTGTATTCATGAATACAGTAGCAAAAATAGGCGTGAATCAGGAAAGTCCAGCTAATCAGTTGTTGTATTCGAGTGTATTCGACTGTATTCATGGAGTGAAACATGGGATTACAGCTGGACAGATTATTGTATTCGACTGTATTCGACTGTATTCACGGCGTGAAATAGGGGATTACACCGTTTTTAAAAGGAAAGTGAATCAATTAACATAATAGACTCCTAATATAACTCAAAAACTCAATTATAACACACAAATTTTGTATTTTCAGGTATAAAAAAGATTCTCAACCGAAAAATGCCCCAAAAACATAGCAATCTTCAGAGAAATTATGTAATACATCTGAATATATAAATTATATTAATTAAAAAAAACTTATGAATACATTCATGGCATATAGCGAGACAGTGAATACAATGAAATACATAGAATACAGCGGGATACATTAAAATACAATGAGAAAAAAAGACAGTGAATACAATGAAATACAT